GTAGTCAAATACCAGTGGTTTCCGGTACCTTCGGTGGGTGACAATTTTCTGTTTTGATGATCAACAAGTATGTTGACAATAGCAGTTTTTATTTCCCGGAGATTTTCAGGGCTGTTCTGTAGTTACGGGAAATTTTCCCCACTTACGCTCCTAATCGTACAAACTACTTATGTATTTGTCACTCTTTTCATCACTTCCTTGTATGGCTCATATATTTCCTCATCTATATTGAAAAAGTATAATGCATTTTCATTATCTATTGAAAATGTGGATGCTTTTCCACCGGATATCCCCCTCCCACCCCACCGTTCGTTCCTCTACGCCGGTGTAATGCGGCGATGCGCAACCCTGCCCTGCGCGCGCGCTCAGCGGCCGGCCGGCCGCGGCGCGCCCCGCGGATCCATAGCCTCACGTCGTTATTGGGCCGTTTGTGACCTTACGCTTCAAGATACGCCAAAACGGACGAAATTTCCGACCAAAGGGCCGTAACTTGCAATTTTCCTTCAGAATTGATATGTCGCTTTCCAAAATTGTTGAATTTTGGGTTTAGGCCCTTTAGGCCCTTTGAGGCACGGGTTAAAATTTTTTTAAATTTTTTTCCTTTTAGGGGGTCAATTTAGAGACTACATAGAAACTTTTTAGGGGTTGACCAACTTGATTTTCGCAAAACTCAAAAATAAGGTACACCCTAACCGCCCCCCCCCCTCTCCGCCTTCTTCGGTAGGGACCTTTATGAATGACTAGGCAAATAAAACCTTAAATATATGGTTTTTTCACATTTATCCTGTAATGTCTGAACTAGGATAAAAATAACAAAAAATGTTGAAGTCTTTGTACCTAGTCACTTCAATTATCTAGATTAGAGATTCAATTCCGAGAGAAAATCTTCATGAACCAAAATTACTTGAAGGAAATCAGTTTCTCACTCGCATAGGAATGAGCTTGCAGCGAGAATGATAGACCATGACACACAAAACAAAAAACCAAAATAAATACACAAAAAGTACTTAAAAAATTCTGCATTGCAAGAGCAAGGACATTTAAATTAATGTTGGAGTATATGAAGAATGTCAGCATGATGCGCCCGCTCAGTGTCAGATAGAATCTTAATCACCAATGTGGTATCAATGGATAAAACATTGTGTTAAAGCAAATTGTATCAGCTGATAGCCTCTAACCTAAGTTTCAGTGAGAAAAATCATAGTTTTATCAGTTAGTCATTTTTATTTTTTATCTAAATAAAATATTCATAGTATTCTTTGTTGAAGTACATAAAGAGAATTTATCAGTTTTGGGGGATTTTTTGTTCTTTCCTTCCCCTCCCTCCCCCCCCCCCCCCCCCCCCCACGACTCCTGTTTTGACCGTGCTATGTGCGTCAGTCTAAGTTCATCGTGATATGTAAAGTTCATGAGTAAAGCTATCTCAGGGACGGAGAGACTCATCTCCACTATTAAATGCGACTTTTCATTTCATCCAGGTCTCCAATTCCAATAGATTCTGAGACTAACACGTCTCTGAGTGGTAATTTTCCCGGGTACGGCGCGGCGTGCCGTGGCCTACGCCGACCGCGTGTGTAGCGTGTGTGAAAAACGGTGTCCGGATCCGAATGAAGAAGTGATCCGAGGAATATTTCGTAGTGGGAATTGTGCACGAAGAAGTGTGTCTATGCAATTTCAACTTGACTTACTCCCCGTGAATTTTGGAACCTCAATTTGACCAAGAACTGAAGGCCTATTCGCATTGGCATAACCTCAATCCCAAGAATCTCACCGATTTTACCATTGACGTATAATACAATCTAGACCGCGCATTGGGCCCGACTTTAGGCGGGGAAGGTGGGACAGCTAGGGGGGTAAAGACGCGCCTTCAGCCTAGTTGATACCGCCGGATATACGAGCTAAGTGTACCCGTATCAGGCAACGGCACTGGCAAGACTGGCATTTCCGCGAATTCCACCATTGTCTCGCCGGTACACTTAATGTGTGTTGCTGGGTTGCCTATCGTCTCGCTTGAATTTCGTAATGCGCGGTCTAGATTGTATTATACGTCAA